GTTTGAAGATGTGTGACTGGTTAAATCAAAGTTCACTAGAACTCATAGCCAGGGTGTCAGATACCATGTAGAACTTCTTGGTAAGCACACTCCTCCACGACAAGGCACGCTCTCCATACAGGACTCACCTCAGGACCACAGCACTCAGGAGGCTCTAAGAGGCACTTTCACGGCTCGACACAGTGACAAGATGGTGAATTTATGTGGAGTGAGACCAGTCTGTGTGCCAGCGGACTTGAGAGACCCTGAGTGAAAACCCAGGCATGTCAAGCCTCAAGTCCAACACCAACTTTCCACTCACGCCCGCAGGGGCTAAGCTGCAGGACCTGCTCGTTCCCCTAGAGCACCTGCCCTCGTCCTTCCTGGACAGGCCTCGTCAGCAGGGAGACCCACCCAGCACCTGAGAAATCAGTGTGAAGACCATTTTCCATCCTAGAGGCAAATGCACAAAAGGATCAGCCCTGCTGAGACACAGCTGCATGTGCTCAGGCCCCCAAGCTCCTGTAAGGTGTAGGTAAGATCTGGCCAGGAACCAAACACAATCAGTTCAACCTGAAGCAGGAACACCACAAACCACCAAGACCAAGTTCTGCAGAAGGAAGAGTGGAGAAGGCAGGTGGGCAGTGTCTCTGAGAGTGTCTCAGTTCATTCCATGCGATTCCAGGGCCCGAATTCTACATGTCCTGCCAGCTACTGCAGAAGAGGCTAGAATCCACAGCCTGTAACCGTGGCCAGCTATATCTTATATGTTCTGAAGAGAAATGCTACAGCATTAAAGAGAGGTGAACTGGCTCACAGCAACTGCATAACCACCTACACACAGTGGCCTTGTCTACTAGAATGTGTGTGGCTATTAAACTGCTGAGGGAGCACCCAGGAGATCATCCAGAGAAGCCAGGCCTCGCCAGCCCAATCCTTGAACACACCACCCGTGTGAAGGTTGGTGTGAGCTGAAACACAAGCACCTCTGTACCTGCAGTAGCCATCACAGCCCTGCTTCACCACAGATGGACGCTAGATCCTGGGGAGAACTGGGCCCGAGGTCACAGGGAGTGATACTTGCTGGATACTCTCTCACAAAGGAAACCACATGTGTCAGTAAACACAAATCTCGTGCAGGACGGGGACCTCGCAAGTGTGAGTTGGAGGCCCCTAAAGTGGGTGACACATCCCACCTGTGCCACCTAGAGGGGGACGGAAGCCTCATAGTTGTTTAAAGGCATCTGGTGTCAGTACCTCAAAGCTAAGATGCTCAGACACAACTCTAACAAGAATACCAGGGGCCTGGGGCTTGTCTTCACAGGTAACCAAGTGTCTTTGGCTTCAGCTTTCTGCCCTGCTGCTGACGTAGGTGATGAGATTCACGACAGGACAG